TCATTTTAACCTATACCCAAAACTCATACAAGGAGGCCTCAAATGGAAAAACTTACAACATCAAACTTGCTCCAAATGGGATTTTAAGTCTAGAAAGAAGGTCACAAGTTATTGGAGAAGCTCATAGCATGGGGTTACATGATTGGTCAAAATATGAACTAAAAAGGCTTATAAAGTGAATAATTTCAAAGTGAAAAATGGTTTGGGAGATTTACAAGTCCAAATGGAGACTTCCAATATATGATTTTGAATGGAAAAACAATTCTAAGAACAATGGTTCACACACTTTTTTGAGTTTAGAAGGAAAAAATGAAGTTATCCATGGTTGCTTACCTTTTAAGAAACATAATCAAAATGAGCCAAAGTTTGAAAACAAGGGAATGTGCAAGATGGATCTAGAATGTACCATTGGGGTCTATATATTCATGAAAGATGAATTTGGCAAGGGTTGGCCTCATTTGCACCAAGAATTCCACAAATTTCTCACACTTTTTTCATAAAAGTTTCATTCCAAATCTCTCAAATTCTGCATCAATCTTCATCAAGATCAATTCAATTTCATTCCATCATCATCTTAGATCATAATTGAAGCAAGGTTTTGGTAGTTCTCATCCATTTTCGAGTGTTTCTTCCATTAACATCAAAATCACAAGTTCAAGTGAATTGCATGATTCAAGCAAGGAACCTCCAAAATTGTGCATACAGAATTGAGTATTGAATTGGTGGATCAAGATCCAAGTCTCAAAAGCCTCATATCCTCCATTTCCATAGCTGTTTTCAAGGTTTCTCATCAGGTAAGTTTTCATTCGATTAGCTTGATTCTGTTGGTTTCACATGATTTTATTAGTGTAGACTTGATCTAGGTGGTTAGGAGATTAAGTTAGATGATTTTGGAAAGGATTGGTGATGGTTAGTGACAGGTGCAGCAAACTGTTAGTGTTCGAATCTCTTGGATTAATGCGTTATAATTGTAGCTTGATTGATCAAATTAATCTCCATTAGTTGTAGTTCAGTTTAGACTAAGTTTGGGGAAGAATGGTGAAGGTTCATATCAGTGCATTTCAATGGTGGCCAGTATGTGATTCAATCGGATTTGTTATTGTGACGCGTTTCAAGATGATCTAATGCCCTAAGCTTGTAGAGGGAAGAATTTGGAGTGGTTTTTGTGTTTACAGCATGTGGATTCGTGGCGTGTAGAAGGAGAACAGAGAGGTGGAACCTTGCTCGTGCATGGCTGCCATGGGAGATAAGAAACCCTAGGTTGCAGGTCAATTGAAGGAGAGATAATCGTGGCCGTGTGTTCGTTGTTGGACTTTTGACTTCCCAGGCAATCCAATGGCTATTATTTGATTTCAGAATTGGAGGGAAGGACCTGGCCAAAACGCACCGTTTCATTAATTGAAACGGGCGGGCCTGAGTGATATTGTTATCCCCACCCCCGTGTTAGGCCCAAAACCAAGTTCTAACGTGAATTTGTCACTATTCTCACCCCCCAGCGCGTTTTATGATTTCATTTGATTCTGAATGAATTCTGGGCCTTGGCAATTCGCTACCAGCACCCCCATTATGAGGCCCATCCTGGATATAACTGGGCGAGACTTCTGAATGCACCCCTCTCTCTCATTTAATTCAATTTTATTTTTCTTAATTCCATTTTATTTTACCAATTTTCATTAAATCATAACTAATTCATAAAAAATGCATTTTAATCCATTCTTTTTACCATATTTTCTTTAGGATGTCTAGAATATTACAAGAAAATAAAATTTCATTTTTAGTTTTATTTCATATTTTTTCCATGTTTTCTAAATAAATGTCATATTAAATAGTTTCATTTCATGCATTATTTTTATGATTTTTGTTCTCTCACATGCTTTAATATTTTTTGGTTATTCTTTTTATATTGTTTAGATGAGATGTTAAGCTTGTAGAAATATTTTAGTTCCCATTTTTAGAGGTTAATTTTAGGTGATTAATAAATGCTTGAATATCATGAGCAAAACTAGGGTTTAGGTGACAACTTAGGAGTTTGATTTCATTTCCCTTAGGACTTAGGGTTTGAATAGATTAGTTATGGGACTATAGGGGCTATGGGTAGTTATTAGATCCCTTAGAGAACAGTTAGGATTCCCCTACTGCTATTATTACTGGCTGTATATCTGTTGTCTGGTGTGGTGTGCCCTCTGGGGTTTATTGATTGTTTGTATGGGTATTGGGTTTGTCTGGGGCCCTGGGGAAGCTGAAGATTTGTGGAGATGAAGCTATTGGAGATTCAAAGATTGAAGATCAACTGTCAGAGTTGAGGAGGAGTTTCTTGCTGGCAGATGCTGAGGAGATTAGGGTTTAGGAGCTAGGCAGAGCTCTAGATTAGAAATTTTGTTTCTCAAACATGGATTGCCTTGTCTGCATCCATTCTTCTCTGTGATTCAGAGTCTCTCTAAGACACTCACCCCCTTCCTTGGGAAGGCTTGGTGATAGTGTCTATGAGATAGAACTCTTGAGAGAAAATGTCTCTTGTGTTAGAAGCAGTCTGTTCACCACCTTTGGTAGTCAGCTGATTGCTTAACACCCAATTCACTCTTGTGACTGATCCCTCATCCTGGAGGTTTGAGCTTGAAGAAAAGCCATTGCAGATGGAAGACTGGTGATCAAAGCCCTTGCCTGAAGGCCATGAAGATGGAGATTGATGCTTGTTGAAGCCTGTAGCTGAATGGAGATTGCTTGAAGCCAGATGATGATTCAGAGCTGCTGATGCTGTTTCTTTTGGCTGTATTTCATTTGTTGATGTATTGATTGGTTTTCTGGACTGTATTGTTTGCTGTTTACCCTGTTGGGTTGAAAGTGAAGCCTGTTCACTTTCGCCTATTGTTTTCTAGGTTCGAGGTTGAGTGGGACTCCCTTGCCTCGCTTGTACTGTTGCATCCATGCATTTTACTGCTTTACTGTATATATCTGATATTGTTTCTGTTTCTGCCTATCCCGTAGGATCTCTGTTTCTCTCTGTGCAAGAGAGGAGCATGATAGACACTAGGTCTTAACCCATGCATGATAACATTAGGTTAGTTTGTTTCCCTTCGCAACCGTAGGTTAGAGTTCTGTCTCTTTCTTTCTCAAAACAAACAGAAAAACACCATAAAGATTTCAAACACAATAAAAGACACTTCTTCCGTAAAAGAATGTGAACTCATCAAGACGTCATTTTTGTCCGCCGGGACTGTTAATCAAGAAAACCCTTTTTCAGAAGGAATAAAAGCAATCAAGACAAGCTTGTGTCTTCCGTAGCCCGAACTACGTTTGCTCTGATCTTCCATGCTGTGTGGAAGTACGTAGGCATAGGATGCGATATCCTAGCGAGCAACCTTCCCCTCCTTTCCCGTAGGTAGGCGAACTACGTTGACTCTGATTTCTCGTTCCAGACGGGAATACGTAGGCATAAAGTGCGATACTTTGCCGAGTCATTTCCTTTTCTTTTTAACCCAGACCTATAGTTTAGATAGAATAACAATCCATACCCGAAACAAGCGTGGATCCCATCGAGTACGATGGACGTGAGGGGTGCTAATACCTTCCCCTTGCGTAACCGACTCCCGAACCCAGGCTATGGTTGCGATGACCATACCTTTTCCCGTCTTTGCGAGGTTTACTTCGGGCGTTTCCTTTCCCGCTCTGAGGGATAAATAACGCACGGTGGCGACTCTTCTGTTCAGCCGGCGCCGATTTTCGCAGTAGCGACACCAATTGACAAAGTGTTACAACTATTTGAGACTTCAATTGTTATAGAAGTTCCACATTAAGCACATTCGAACAAATTTGTTTGAAGAAATTACAAAGATCAATAAAAACTAAAGTAACTTTATCAGAAAATGAACCCCTTAATGCTACTGGAATAAGCTCTTGCATCAAAACATGACAATCATAACTTTTTAAACCAAATAATTTTTTTTTGCTTGACTTGCACACACCTAGGGATGTTTGATGAGCATTCATCTGGAATTTTTACATTCTTGAGGATGCTCAAAAAAGCTTCTTTTACTTTATTAGTCATTTGATAACGTCCTCTAGGCAAATGGAACATGCTACTTATAAGTCCTACTTGAGGATGAAGCATACTTATGATACCCATATCTGCAAGGTTAGCTTGTGCCTTATAATTATCTTTGGATTTTCCTTCTAGGTTTAATAATGTACCAACAATGTTATTACATACATTCTTTTCAATATGCATCACATCAAGGTTACGACGCAATACATTATATTTACAATAAGGCAGTGTAAAAAATATGTTTTTCTTTTTTCAAGGTTGTGCACTATTTTCTAGACCTTCTTCTTTATATTTATCTATTTGCCTTAAAATATCACCCCCCTCAAGTATTCTAGGAGGTTTCATTAATTCTTATGTTCCATCAAAATCCTTACGATTCAACCCCCATTTATGATTATAAGCTAACCAACAACGTTGACACATGTAAGAAAAGTTCTTACCATGATTTAACCATCCCGAGGCAGTTTCAGTAGAACAACATGGGCATGTGCGTTGACCTTTAGTACTTCATCCAGACAGGTTGACATATGCTGGAAAGTCATTGATAATCCACATTATAACATCACGAAGTTGAAATGTATCTTTTGTAGGCATCAAATGTTTAAATTTCACCATCCCACAACTCTTGTAATTCTTGTATTAATGGTTGTAAATAAACATCAATGTTATTTCCAGGACTTTTAGGATCAAAAAATAGTAGTGAAAACATAAAGAATGATTGTTTCATGCACATCCATGGAGGAAGATTATACAGAATCAGAATGACATGCCACGTGCTATGATTAATACCCATAGTCTTAAAAGATTGAACCCGTCAGAAGCCAATCCTAATCAAACATTATGTAAATCTAACGAAAATGTTGGATAACAAGCATCAAACTCTTTCTAAGAAAGAGAGCCAGCTGGATGTCTAAGAGAAATATATTTTAATCTACCCTCATGATGCCATCTCATTGATTCAGTAACACTTTGCTGGTAAGTTCTTTTTCTTTTTATAAGTCTCAATTCCATTAGTGTGTACATCTTCATTTGTTGCTTTCCACCTTGAAGTACCACACTTTGGGCATATTTGGTCTTTGACATATTTATCTCGGCATAATATGCAATCATTAGGACAAACATGTATCTTCTCATACCCCAAACCTAACCTTGAAATTATCTTCTTTGTTTTATAGTATGACTTTGGAAAAATGTTTTCTTCTGGTAAAACATCTCTAAGTAAATCTAGTAACATAGAGAATGACTTGTCACTCCATCTATTAAGAAACTTTAAATGATACAAATGCACCATAAATGATAGTTCACTGTACTTTTTACAATTTGGGTAGAGCATTTCTTCATTCTGCTTCACCAATTGGTAAAACTTAGTACTTTCTCCAACTTCTGGATTTCTTTCACCTTTACCAGAAATTTGATCTTCTGTCAGATGAACTCCAAAAACATCATGAATTAATCCATCAATGTCATGATCCATTTCTACATGTTCAGTTGTGTCATTTGAAGTTATAGACTTCTCACCATGAAATATCCATTGTGTATAGCCTCTTAAAAATCCACGTCATGGATCCATTAAGTGTTCATAAACACATGTACGAGAATGTAAGTGACAGTTGACACATTTTGTACAAGGACAAAATATTCTTCTTTTATTTTTTGAATTTTGAAAAGAAAATTCAAAAAATTTGTTAACCCCTTGAATATATGCTTTACTTTGTTTTGATGGATCGTGCATCCATTCTCTATGCGCCATTTGACAAAACTAACTGTAAAATAATTTTAAATCCACTAACTCATTAAACCACAATATATGATAAATACATGATAAGACAATACAATGGAATTCAAATTAGAAATATATATATATATATATATATATATATATATATATATATATATATATATATATATATATATATATATATATATATATATATATATATATATATATATACACTTTATGTCCATAATGATGTCATGCTTGCTTTTGGCACTCCGGAGAAACAAATCTTGATTGAACCCATATTTGCCCAATGGATACAATCTGCTCACGGTAAAACTTCATATGGTTTCAATGTACTTTTATCTTCAACGAATAGTCCGACGCTCAATGCGGGGCGAAGCATATGGTTGACGGGTTGGTTAAATGCTATTAATGAGAATCGTAATTCTCTATTCTTAACAATCGGCCCTGGAGACTTCTTGGTTCATCATGTTATTGCTCTTGGTTTACATACAACTACATTGATCTTAGTAAAAGGTGCTTTAGATGCACGTGGTTCCAAGTTAATGCTGGATAAAAAGGATTTTGGTTATAGTTTTTCTTGCGACGGTCCGGGACGAGGTGATACTTGTGATATTTCTGCTTGGGACGCATTTTATTTGGCATTTTTCTGGATGTTAGATGTATATATATTAAATTGATAAATAATAATGGTTAAATTAACCAAAATAAATGGCCAAAAGTTGCAACTTTCTAGAACTGAACCAAAGACTTTATTGTGATAAGGTGTGTGGTCAAAATGTGCAACCATCATATTAACACAACTTTTCATAAAAAAGTTTGTTGTTATTGATATACAATAGTTCACGAATGGTCATGTTGGAATCAAATGAAACATTGTTTCTCCTCACCAATTGGTACAAAATTTTATATAAATAGAGATACTTGTCAGGCATATAAAAGAAACAAAAATTACTTATTTCAAATGTTAAAAATTATATTTAAGTCATTCTTTTATTTTTCTAGTGCACAAGAGTAAATAATGGAACTTTATTATATAAAATATTGTTGATCGATATGCTTAATATGAATGTGCGATTCATGTTAAGGTTTTCAAAGTATCTTGAAAGGGATTCGCTCGTTAACCCTTTTGCATAAATTGGCGGAGGCGAATCGAACCTAAAACTTAGTGTAAACACACACTTTGGAATTTATTTTGTGCAACTTTTATCGTACCGTTTTCATCTTCTTGCTCATGTTTTACAGCAGACTCCAACAGAAGATCTATCAATCTTTATGTTCGATTTATGATTTTTATGATTAATTTATGGTTGCAACTTTGATGGACAAATGGGTTCATGCTCTCTTATTCATAACCATGGTGAAAGGTACATAACAATTCGATTACGTTAATAGATATTCATATAATATTTTAAATTCATGTATAATACTATATGATGAAAGTAATGTGCATTTATGTTAAGTTTAACATGTGATATTAAATTTATACATGCATGATTTATAAACTATTCAAATATGTGAAATGAAATGATTATGAATATGTTTGGTTTATGTTATAAACTTGAATGTAAAATGTAGGTTAAATATTTTTCTTTGGTGCAAATAATTTATTTTAATTAATAATGCATTATTTCTATATGATATTATTTGTTAATAATTAAAAGAAATTAAAATCATAAATTTGAATATATGGAAAATTTATTGATAACATAAAATGGTGTAAATAACTTATTAAAAATATCAAGAACATGTTTCAATTATATTGTTTATGCAAGAATTTTAAAATTAAAATGATTTATCTCATATTATATTTGTATCATAATATGAAAATATTATTTCTTATTTATCTTGATATTAAAAGTAATTTGGATATATTTTATCTTGTAGTAAGTTGATAAATGTTCATCGAGAAACGTTACAAGAAATATTAGTGATGTTGGTTTATTATTCATTTTGTGATTTATATTTGGATATATCATAAACATTTTTAAATATGAAACATGAATTTATCACATGGTGTTGTATTTATATGGAGTTTATGAATTACATGTTTGAACTCACTTCATGAAATAAAAGTTAGTTATGTCAAATTTGTTTGATCGTGATTGTCGATTGCTATAAATGTTTAATGCATTAAATATATTTCAGATATATTTAAGTGGAAGTAAACCTTCAATTTAAAAGGGTTAGTAAATGAAGAATGACATAAAATTTGTGTATATGACAAAATGAATGACAAAAGTGTATGCGTATAGTTTATCGAAACTATCAAGAATATAAAATATATGTTGTATATGGAAATTGTACTAATATGACAAATGTGTTATGATTTGATGGTAGATGACAAATATTATCAAGAGTACATAATGTAATCATATGCATGATTAGTTGAAAAATTGAATATTCGGAATTTATTAAAGTTTGAAAAAATCTTGCAATTCTTTGACGAAAGAATTGACAAAGATATGATGTCTTTGGATATAATTGAATACAATGAAGACATCATTAGGGATGTGGAACAAGCTTGGAAACTCAACTCACACTTAATTAATATTAAGTCTTGAGTTCAATGATAAAAGCACACTATTAGAGTGATTGAATTACTTAATGATAGATACATCCTAAAGAGTAAAACTACTTGGACCATAAAAATAAGTGTGGTAGGATGAAGTTTTCCTTTTAATAGACATATAACATATGTTTGCTGGAATGCATAATTATGGGTGCATTTCCGATATAGTCTACCTATATGAGAATGAGTGTGGTACCACTTGATAGAGTTTAAGGGTTTGACTCTTAAATTCTCATTAAAAGGATATGAGACACAAGGTCTTATTAAATGTGTCATATTAATAATTCAATCAATGGTACTGAGATTTTATGTGTGAGATTTTATGTGTGAGTTATGCACACTTGAAATTTATTTTATACAACTTTTATCATACTATTTTCATCTCTTTCTTATTTATGTTTTTGCAACAAATCCCAACAGAAGATCTAAAGGTAAAGGAAAAGACGATAAATGAACGAATATGAAAAACTATTGGTCAAAAAAGTTACAAATCAATATCAAGTACTTACTATAGAGGAACTGTAGGTGCATTATTGGTTTAAGACATAACAAAGAGACAGACATTTAAAAATGTATTAAGTTGGCTTCATGAACATACAATTTGTCTCTAGCTTTAAAAATCAAAGGATGATTCTAAAAAGAAACCATTTACTTTGTTTTAAGAAATTCAACACCATGAGAAAATATCAATCATTTTTATTTTAAAATGTCAGAATTACATTAATTTAAGATAGTTTTTATTTGTTAAATTTTTTCTTATATTAAAACAAAAGAAATCATTATTATATTTTTAAAACTTCAATTAATTGTGACAACGAATTGTCTGACATTTGTATAACACTTGTATGACACATATTAAAAAAAGTCTGAAAAAATGTTTTAAAATAAATAATATATATTTTTTATTTCGACACTCTTTAAATCGGCATATGATGCCCTTATGACACTTCTATAACACTCTCAACAATTTATATAAGTGTTTTAAAAATTGTTTATATTTTTCATGACATCTTATAAATTTTTCTATACAAATCTCACACATCTAAGGGATAAATATTTTTAATCTTTTAGAATATATACCAAAGTGTCTGAGTGTGAATTCATGCTTCATAGCTTTAGAGTATCAATATCTTTGTCTTTCAAAACTTGCTATATTTTTCAAGCCATTCTAAATCATTCATGATATTCCACCATCCCTTTTGCATAGAAACGGTGGCATCTACAAAGTTGTTGCAATGTATTATTCTTTATATTTATGAAATACACTACCTGTTTGATCAAATGACTTTAAATGGTTAACATGATACAGGCATGGATTGCATCTGTGTGTGATGAATGATGTAACCGAGGGAAGTAAAACATGATATTCCACCATCCCTTTTTATATATTTTTAAAAAGCTTCATTTTAACCTATCTTATATTATAATATTTTAACTAAAATGAAAAATTATATTTAAAAAAAGATATTAAAGATATTGATTTCATTAAAAATTAATTTTAATTATTAATAAAATTTGTTGATATTTTTTCAAATAAAAATGTAGAGTTAGATTTTATCAAGTAAATTAAAATATGTTGATATATTAATGTAATAGTATTTATTTTAATTATAATTATAATTAATAAAAATGAAATTGAAAAGGTTGACAGATTTATAGCATTCATTTTCCTCTTATTTTTGAAATAATTAGTGAAAATGTGTAAAGTACAAGTTTATTTAAAAAGCATAATTATTATTGGAAATTATTATTTTATCGAATGCACAAGTTTATCAAAATTTTAAAATTGAAACTATTTTTAATTTTTATAGTTTTTAAAACAGAAAGTAGAAAATCAGTCTCATATGTGCCTAAAATTACGACTATTTTGTTCATCAACAAAAGGTAATATAAGAATTTGAAAATAATCTGTAACAAAAAGTTGAACATATCTTATAGTTGAGAATTGTTATTTTTTCTTTGACTGAATATACACTATTTAGAAAGTAACCGTTAAGAAAAGTAAGGCATATTTTTAGGGCAGAAATTTAATTCTTTAACAAATAAAATTCTCTCAAAGCTCACTTATAAATTACAAAGTGAAAGTTCACTGGTTTACTAAAACCTCTTTCATTCACCAAAAGAAAGTTCATTGTTTTAAATCTCTTTATTCACTAATAAG